CTTAAAGTCCCTCCCGGAGGACTTGTTCCCTGAATTTTTTCGCCATTAAAAATTGGACGACCTCCACCGGGTATTTGAACCCGCGTACTACGAGTCATGAGGTGGGAACGTTACCTCTAGACTACGGAGGCCGCTAGCTTACTGACTTAAATAAAAGCTGCAAGAATGCATTTCTGGAGACAGGTCTACAGCTAGACGACAGGGTTCTATCCAGATTGAAAGTAACTCCTGTGGCTGTTACTTGTTGCCTTGTCAGTTCCTCTTGGACAAGAACAGAGCGATGTGCAGGGGCGTTGTCGTATAGCAACAGTCAATTCTTCCTACTCCAAACGTTTCGCTAGGAGATTTGCCTAGTTTTTTTTGCATAACTTGATGTTTGCCCGTTGTTCAAACTGCCACATTTTCGATTTCCGCCACTCGCATTTAACTGCAGTTCACAATAGAGGCCGCAGTTCTACTTACACTGTTTGCACACAACTGTCTTTCTGTGACGAGAGATGAACCGACAGGGCATCATATCGTGCCTCAACCTATACGCTGTAGTGCACTGCAACGACGCTTTGCGGCCATTCCACAAACGTATTGACTGTGGTAGTATATTCCGTGTCTTCTCCGTTCTACTCACGTACCCACCGAGATTCCACGATTCTGCTGTTCACGAAGTTGGGTAATATCTCATCGTCCTTAGTTGCAAATATTTTTCGGGGCATTTTGTTGTCAGACACTGGTGATTGATGTTCTTACTTCTGAGTTATAGATACGAAGACATTAGGACACATTGCTTTGATGTCCGTTTGTTTGACTTCAGCTTGAAGGTCACAGAATGCATTAAGACTGAAGTTCAATTTCTGAGATGCCCCAGGTTCACTGTAATACATCCAGACGCTCGACTCTGACCATATACACGAGATATACTCCACTACTCAAGGCTGACTGCATACAGGCGAATTTACGAAGTTTCTGGATTCGTGCACGCTCCATCGACGTCAGTAGGAGCCCGTTTCTTCGCGAAGTTCCTTGTCAAAAAAGCCATTTATGCCTTCCAAGTTTCGGAAATGCCCAGCCAATAAAGAAATGTATAGCCTTCTGCAGATCAGATGTTTATTGTAGTGTTCATAAGACCCTTCCACCGGTCTTTAAGATCCATTACGGTACAGGGAGTTTCTTACCTTTTTTAAGCGGTTCAGAGCTCTGCGCGTCATGGCGACCGGTGCACCACCGGCAGCGAGGCGCATACGATTTTGCCGGTGAACCCATATACCTTTTGGCCGATAACATTAGGAATGTAGTTGCAATTCAGAGATCACAGGAGGTTTTGAAAATGCTCTCCGTGTCAGTTGCGGGTCACCTTCGAAGACAGACTGTAGAAACCAACTGCAAAAATGAACCTTGCTAACTGGTTCTCGCGGCTGCAAGGCGTGCATGGATTGCTGTTGTTTTACAGGGTCTAAGCTTCAGTAATTATGTTGCCATTCTTGCACTAGACTTTGACACTCCAGTCTCTTAGGCTAGACGTTTCAGTGATTTTCTAGGTGTATGTTGAAGTCTGGCCCCTGTGTCAACTAACTTTTCAGTGATCACTCGGCGCTTTGAAATCCCGTGATTTAAGTTTATTTACCAAAGTGTTAGTTGTTTGTCTGCTGGAAACTCTTCCAACATGAAATTTACGTCGAAATTTTCACCGACAATTTCTAATAGATTAGCATTTCACGTAGGTGTCGTCCAGAAATACAAAATTCTCTCAAGTGTACCGCACCACGACGGAAGAGACTGCTGTCTGATTGTAACTGAGAACAAACGGTTGGTTGGTTGGTTAGTTAGTTAGTTAGTTAGTTATTAGAGAGGTTGGGTTTCCCCATGCACTTAGACCTGTAATGGTCCATTGTGCTTCCCTCTATGATTTCTACCAGTCTCTATATCCTACCGGTATTGGTGCTTACCATCAGTCCCGCCCAGCCAGCGAGACCAGCTCTACTGGCTGAGAAGTATCTGTAATGCTTCCCCCATCTACCGGAGGTATTAGTGACTGCTGTTGGGTGGGAAACGTCCGTTAATTTGGCTCAGTGACCTCCTTTGGAGGTATGAGGTTCTTTTACGTGCCGTAAAGCTACGACACGGGACCCACGGCTTAAAGTCCCTCCCGGAGGACTTTTTCCCTGAATTTTTCCGCCCTTAAAAATTGGACGACCTCCGCCGGGTATTTGAACACGCGTACTACGAGTCATGAGGTGGGAACGTTACCTCTTGACTACGGAGGCCGCTTAGAACAAACGGTTAGTGGAGCTGATAATTGCCGCCCACTGCTGCCAAATCATAAACAAATTCTCAAGCATGAACCGCGCTACTCGCCGTGAAAAATAAGGCAGTCAAGCGGTATACAAATTTAATAACTTCATTCTAAACGTTATCGGCCATCATGCATACTGATTCATCGGCAAAAATCATATGAGCCTCGCAGTCGGCGGTGCACCCATCGTCGTGAAGCTTTCAACAAAGGTGCGAACCTTCCTGTGCCACCCATTCACGAACGCTTGCTGCAAGGCGCATACGAATTTTTCCGATGAAACAGCATACCTGATGGCATTTCTCCTGGTACCAGAGAACTGTTGAAATTTCTTGTAGTGTGATCTTACTGCATGTAGTGACTGTTCAGTTTTGAATACGCTGTTGCCTACGAATCCAGGCTTATGGGAAGCTCATGGATGTCGTTGTTCATGAATGTGTTTATTTTCCTGTTACTTCAGGGGCCTATGTAACAGTGTACAAAGCACGGGACTTGGCCAATAACGGACACATAGTTGCCCTGAAGAAAGTGCGTGTTCCCCTGACGGATGATGGTGTCCCCATGTCGACTCTTCGAGAGATTGCGCTTCTGAAGCAACTAGATCAGTATGAACACCCGCACATAGTGAGGTGAGTACCTTCCGTTCCTGGTTATAGCCATAAATGTCACAGAGACGACACACACCCACCTTTCATACAGCACGGTAAGTGATGCTGATGCATGACTCGGGGCCATTTTTCTAAGGGAATTTGAGAGCCCATCAGTCATCTGGCTTCTTGTGATTGTCTGAGGAAAGCTGAGGGCAAACGGGAGGCTACCACAACGCTAGCAAATCAGCGCGGATCACAACAGCGCCAACGCCCATTGGGTCGGGCGCCGCTGGTGACAGCGAATAAAGATGCGGACCTCCGACGCGTTAGTCGGTTGGAGCTACTCTTACCTCAAGGCAGCTCATCTAGAGCGCACACAACAGCAGCGAGTCTCCTAGTAGCACCACCGTGCCTAGACCATTTGGGAAGTCTGTCAGCGCTTGCCGTCCTACGACAGGCTCCCAGTCACGCAAGAAGAAGATGATGATGATGATGATGATAATAATACTAATACTAATAATGATAATAATAATGTAACAAGTGTTATAACCAAAATTTGTTACTGATAGGGGTCTTTAGATTTTGATTGCTCCAGGGCCCCAACTGCTGTAAATCCGACCCTGACATCAGACACGGCGAGACTGATATTTAATGTACATAAACCCTGATTTTTATATTTCCTTGCCTTCATTGATTTCTTTATCACGACGTTACATGTTTTACATTCTGTATTACCTAGTTGCCTCAGTTGTTAACGCTCCGACTTCTGTTCGGGGAGGTGCCCATTTCGAATCTTGGCAGGAATATCGACTGATTATCCTGAGTTGGCCTTTCGTGGTTTTCCTCGGTATGTCCAGCAAATTCCAGAGTAATACCTCAAATTAGGCCACGGCTTCATCTTACCATATCTGTTTCAATTCATCATTCGGTAATCATTGTTCAATTAGTCCATGTACATTTAAATTAGAAGTTAAATTCACTCAGTTTGTTTCCCAAGATGGAAACATTTTTACATCATTTTTGTGTGTATTAGCAAATTTTCCAATTTTGAAAAAATAAAAAGTAGGCTTATAAGATTGCTATGCTGTCTCTGTTCCCGACCCCTCCCCATCAACATTTGAATGCCTGAACCAGGCTTACGAAACTTGGTATGCATATCATGACCCGGGAGGGGCTCACAATGGTGTACTTCACAAATCCCTCTGATCACTCAATGTGTATATCCGTATCGTTACTAAGCAACGACTTGGTAAAAACGTTACCGCGGCAACGAATGCGCACGTAGCAGTAGAATCATTGGACGCTTCATTGTATGTGCGGGCCACTTCGTGTCAAAGGAAAGTAGGCAATTAGTTCTTCCCATAACTTCTTGTTTTATGATGCTGTTAGTATCCACTCAGACTAGCGTACATAGCGTTGACTGGTGAATACTGAATTGGAAAGGATTTTGAAAGAAGCGGTCATGACTTGAAGCACTGTTCTGGCATTTGCTTGAAGGAACGGAAGAAAACCAAGTCTCAGTACCAGATGTCCCGGCTGAGATTCGAACCGATGTCTTCCCAAATACAAATCTAGCGCGTTACCGCCATATTCTGTGGCCCCTGGGATCGATTTCTGTTGGAGACTAACAGAAATGAGTACCAGGAATCTTCTTGGGGGTAAAGGGTGGCCGACCTCACCGCCGTCTGTGAGTCGGTTGTCAGGAGAGTGCGGCAGGCTGGATAGGCTGTTACAGGGATAGCTTTTTTTTTACCACTACATCTTTGTGCTCGGTATTATTAATATTAAAATTAACATGTTTATATTAAATTGTTTATCACAAGTTCTGTTCAACTTGTACAGC